GATTGAACTCTTCCAATTGAGGGAAACCCTTCGGAGCATTAAATGATCTTATTGCAATTTAGGCTAACTCTCTTCTCGGAAGAATACATATCATTTCCATATCCTACTCTTCTCCATATTTGCTTGGATTAGACATTAGATAGCGTTAAAATAATAAATCATCTAATATATTTTTAACGCTTATGTAAAATGAATAAATTAAGTGTAACTCTTAGCAGTAATGTACTAGGTATCACTAAAGGTGAAATTTCATTTTCTTAACTAAAAATTTCGGGTTTAATTTAAAAATAAAAAAACTTCAAATAATTAGAGAGTACTTTCTCAACGATTTTGAATTAATCGGCTATAAATTTCGATTATTAGATTATTATAAGAACAAAAAAGTAGTACGTCAAGGGCCGGCAATTACACCAAAATGGTCTAACATTTCATTAAATCTTATCATTGAGTAGTGTGTTTCTCCGTTTTAAAATTTGATATCTTTCGCTACTCCTAAATAAATTAACTATAACTAATATTTTTAATGAGCTCGACTTCCCAGTAAATTAAAATGTATGCCGCCGTTAGTTTGATTGAAACCTCTGCTAAATCTAGATCTATAATTAGCTTACTCTAAAAGATCAAGGTGGATCAAGAGATTTATTTATTAATACAAAACAAGTAAATTTGAGTGTATGTTGATTTTAAATGTAGGTCCTGCAATTAGTGATGTACAAGGGCAGAGCTAAATCATTAACTATGGATCGGACGAACCTAGAACCTTTTTATCTAATCCTTGCTCCTGGTGACGTATGCAACATCTTAACCTATAGGATAATTTTCTGCCGGTTTAAGGCTCTCCTTTTATGTCTCAAATTTATATTTCCTTTATAATATTATGTTCAAACAATATTAGTCCATTTTGAATAGTCCAAAAAATTACTGCAATTTTCTCAAATTATTTTTGAAATTTTGAACCACAATTAATTATGCCGAAGGTAGTACTTTTTATCGTAATTTTCTAATATAAAATTTTTTCTTCAAAAATTGTAAAGAATTTATTCGAAATTCACAACCGGACATTACAGCAAACCCTAAAATGGGATAAAACAGAATTATTTTCAAATAAACAATTTACACACATAAAAAAATTCGTTAAGCTATATATTGAATGGCATCCCCTTAATTTATCCAAAGCCTGTCTCTCATTGCCTGCAGTTAGAGGTGTACAAACAAAACCGATAAACCGTACCAAACCGATAATCCGAGTTAAACCGAAAAAAAAATCCGATTGTGGCTTGGTATTGAAAAAACAAACCCGATTAACCTCTGGATTTGAAATCACTGCTTATATACCCGGTATTGGCCATAATTTACAAGAACATTCTGTAGTCTTAGTAAGAGGGGGAGGGAAACTGGTCGAGATAGATGACAGCACCTTTTTCCCCTCTTCCTTACCGGTGGAGAACAGCCATCGGACCGGATTTGTCGTAAAATTGAGATTATTTCGTTTCCTTCCTTATCAGAAGGGGCCCGCGGGGCTTATTTATTGAAAAAGGGGGAGTGAGGGGGGGGGAAGGAAGAATGGAAAGCCCTCACTTTATTGATGGGACATTTTGATCCCCTTTTCCTCTCATCCTCCCCCGGTTCTGGTTCAGGAAAGGGTCAACGCAAGGATCTTATTTCGAAGCAATCTCTGGAGTTTTCCCTTATCCGAACGGGTCTTGCAAGAAAATAGGATTTCATATTGAGCTCCAAATATACGCTATTGGGATGGGATGGCTCCTACTANGCCGAGAATAAAATCAAAAGAAGATTGATTGAAAAAGCTAAAGTACTCTTGATGGACTTCATGCAGCTGGCTTTCACTCGAATCTTTTGAGCACTTTAGTTGGTTGTTGACCAACGGAAAGCATGGGAGAAAAAAAGGAAGAATTTACGCAATTTCTTAGACCATAATTGGTTTGGTTTGATTTTAACTAAAAAAAAGTCAAATCGAAACCAAACCAACCCGATAGTGTATTTATATAATTTTTAAAATATTTTATACATATAAATATTTATTATAATATAATTAATTTATAAATATTTCTTAAACTTTTCTACAGTTTTATCTTTTAACGTATTATTTTAAGTTTGGACTTAACGTTCTTGAATGGTAAATAAATTTTATAGCCCATAAATGTAGTAACTCAAACAAAGTTCAAATCAACACTAATGCTAACAAAAGAAATTCAATTCAACGCTAGGAATGACGATAGTGTTGGATATCTATTTTTTAGTTTTACACTGGTTTATAATGAAAATGCATAACTTGGTTTATCTCTTTCTTTAGTGCTTAGTTATTTAATTAATAGTACTTATTAGCTATACTTATTTTAGCATGACCTATATATAGTATTTTTAGATTATGTTAATTTTTATTATGGCTTATTAATTAGCAATATTTGATTTATGCAATTTTATTATCTTTGTTATTGAATATTTTAGTATAATGTTATGACTTATCTAATGTTATTGTGTTATTTTCTTAGAAAATACATTATATAATTGTATTTTACTAGGACTAAAGAAATATTTAGAGCACAAGTTGCATATTTTGTGCTATGCAGACTTTACCGGAAAAACAAACCCGAAAACCCCCAAAAAAATCGAGAAAAATCGAGATTGAAAAACCCGAATTTATTGATTTGATTTGGTTTATAAATTTAAAAACCCGACACCATTGGTTTGGTTTGATAATTGAAAACCCGAATTAACCCGACCTATGTACACCCTTACCTGCAGTGGTTCAGCCTCTGCCTCTGAATCTGCTCTTGGCACCTTTGTGACCCTTGATTGTCGATATCGTCTTCCGTCACAGTGGTACTGACGGTGAAAGTGTTGGCACTTGCAACGGCTAACAAACACAAGAGGAGCTGCAGCAAGAAAAAGCTTTGTCATGGTGATCAAGCTAAGTGTGTTTATTATGAATAGTAGCTAGGGAGAGGTGAATTGTTGTGATTGTGATTGTGAATTCAATTTTAAGGGTAAATTTATAGCGGATTCGATGCTTAGCATGGAAAGTACTGTTGGGATTTTAAGCTTGTGTAGCTTAAAAAAAGTGAATGAGAAATGGAGGGAAAATAAAATATTTCAGTTTCCCTTGGAAAAGGGACATTATCCCATATCGGAGAAAGAAAAGGTTTTTGATGGATATATATATAATTGCTCTTCTTCTAGCTCTTAAAGAGTTAAGAAAAAGGCAAGCCCCGCGCCGTCGTCGTCGCTCGGCTTCGGATTTGGTCAAAGATTGATTGATTAATCTTTTTGAACAAAATTCCTTTCAATTATTTGATTAATTAATTAAATAATTAACGAAAAATTCAATCCAGAATAACCCATGACCCGCGATCCGGATCGGTCAGGTCCGTTTTCTTTCCCGAATTATTTTAAATATATTTTTCCCGCAATATTTCAAACACCCCTTTTCCAACAGCCATGACTGTTTCTGAAAGGTTGCAAACCTTTTCAAAAACAATGCCAGCAACTCTATAAATAGAGTTTGAATCCCAGAATCTTTCCTTACGAAATTTTCTGAGCTTCTTCTTCTTCTTCTTCTTCTTCTTCTTCTGCACAATATTTTCCAGTGTGTTTTACGACCATTGAGTGGTTCGCAGTTCATCAGAGTTTTGGTACCAATACACTGGTGAGTTAAATCATTCTATCCTGGGAGGATATATTCCAGCACCTCGGGTACTTGAGGGGAATAATTTCTTTAAGGACACACTATGTATTTAGTGGGCTCGATTTATTCCTATACTGTTTTTTGTTTATCAGAATCTATTTCATTAAACAAGTATTACTAACTTTCTGTTTTATTTTTTCAGAAAGTTTAATTGTTTATTGCATCAATACAGAATAATAACAAATACGTGTTGTATCAGTGCTAAGGTAGATGAAGAAAGCTCTTTACATGGCTGGCTTTAACCTCCCACGTCAATTTACATGCAAGTGCTGCCAGAAAGCTCTTTAATTTGTTCGGATTCAAAATGCAGCTATCTTTTGATTATTTTATGAGGTTCCGTCCATATATGATCACATCTAGCAGTGCTTTTGCAGATTTGTCCATCTTGTCGAAGTTTTTGTAAATTAATGTTCCAAAATATATAATTGAGACTCAGCATCGAAACGGGAGATTTGATTTTGTAGTCTATTACAAATACCATTCTAATTACTCCGTATATGACTCATTTATTTCACATATCAGTAAAAAAAAAATACAAACGTCTTCGTAGAATTATTTTAAGTTGACATAAGAGATCATGATTTGTTCCCTAGACGTTCTGAGCTGAGCATGGAGGGCTAAAATCTCTCTCATTGGACTAACGCACCTTTGGCAAGGACTATTAGCACTAGCATTTTTTTCCATACGTCCTAAGAAAGTAAGAATGCCTTGTACACACTTCACATATTTGATAGTCCGCTATCTATGTCTTAGAATTTTAATTGCTTTCTGTTTCACCTTAAAACAAATATTTGACTTGAACTTATATAAATCGATTGGTATAGTATAATTTTATAATATGAATTTTGTTAACTTAAATATTGATACAATTTGATTAACGCCGTCAAACTTAAACAGAGAAGAAGCATAAAGAACTTTAATGAATTGTTGATCCACAAAATGCATGGGGACTGCACATTATTTGAACCAAGTCGAGTAAAATATATGGCAGCTCTTCCTCTCTCAAAATATTCCTTTGCAGTTAGGAGCGGACGTAGAACCAACCACGGGTCGGCCGAATATAATAATTTTTTATTATATTATGTATTTGTATTAAGAAATTTTATTAATTATGTACACATTAAATTTAGAAACTAATTATTAGTACTTGAAATATTCGTTCTAAATTCTTGAATCTATAAAGTTGAAATTCTGACTTCATCATTATTAGCGGTTCGAAATGAATAATCAGACAAAGGTCTTATATATATTGTTTATAAATACCGCAGAAGAACTATAAATATAGTCAGCATCAAAATCTAAAGCCTATTATCCATGCCACACTTGTAAACTTCTTTTGAAGTACATCAAAATGAATCAACAATATCCAATTCTCATCCAAAGCTCACTAAACAAGAAAAGCAATGGACTATCATTTGAATATAAATTTAAAGAGATATAAACGAGCAAATTCATCTATCATACAACATCTTTTTCTTTTTCTTTTCTTCTTTTGATGTGTCAACTTGATTACAGTCTTCAACTTCAGAATCATCCAATGCATGGTCGCTTTTCCTGTTCTCTTCATTACACTCCCAACTCTTCATGGCCATTGCCTCTAGAAAAGTGCAAGACACAAACCTTGTAGTAATATATAGATGATAAAGCATCAGTGGACAATAATTCTACTGATGAAAAAAAAAAAAGGCAAAGATTGAATAATAGACTCCCCCATTTGATGTGGTAGTGTTTGACTAGACACCAAGTTTGAAAACAAATTAATGAATGGTAAGAGTCTACAAGTCCTCTCATACTTCTTTCTTATCAAAAATATAAACTTTTATGAAAATGATTCCCAACAAATCATATCATTAAGATTGTAAAGTGAGAATGATAGATTAAACAACTTGAGCATATAAAATTGTGACAATCTTTTTTAGACGAATTAAAAGAAAAGTATGTCACACAAAATGGGACAGAGGGAGCGATAAAAATTTACCAAAAAAGTACATTAAAAAACAAGTGAGTGGTTTCTTGAATTGGGATCATACCAGCTCGTAAGGTGGAAGATGATGATCAGTGTAACCAATCCGTCAAAAGAAGAAAAGTGAAGAGAGCAAGCAAAACTGCAGGCAACAAACCAACTTTGGATTTAAATGATGCAATGCTGGGCAAGTCTGGTGGAAGAGCACATTCTTCCCCATTGAAAAACACCTTAGCAGGGAATCCATCACCAGCTGCAACATTAATATGTGGTGTGTACTTCTTTAAGAAAGAAATAACAGATTGCTGTTTTCCGGGCACTCTTGGATCCTTATTAGGATTACTCCCATTAACTTCTCCAACCAAGAAATTCAAACCAGGCAACCCTTGCATAAATATAGTGTTGTTCCTATTAGGCAGCTTTGTCCCATTGAAAGAATAAACATTTTCATAGCCACTAGCTATATCTTTTTTCATTTGAATTGCTGTAAACCAATCTTCAAAAGAATCATCTCCCCAATTGAATAGAGTTATTCTAGCAGTCCATCCACTCTTGTAATCACTATCCACATGCCAATTAATGCTCACCCCACAATTATCAGGACAAGGTAATTTTTTGGGCAGAGGACCAAAATGTTTGATATCGTTCCAAGCTTTAGCCTTTTCCTCTCTATTTTCAAAAGGGACAAGAAGTGCTTCAGGAGGAAGAAGCAGCGGCTTTCTATTCGCGTCACATTTAGACGTCTGTTCACAGCCGCAGGCGCAAGTGCTGCATGGGATAACAGAATCTGCATAATAAGCAGAGAAAGAAACACAGCATTTGGCTCCTTTGGGCTTCGGACGAGTAATGTTACAAGTAATTTGCCAGCTAGCTACTGCTGTAGTAATAATTCCAATTCCATTAGGATCTGGAAATTCAGATGGATCTACTCTGACTGGAGGTCCACATTGGTAAGACGGATTAATTGTACCCTCAATTTTCCAGTTCTGAGGGGGATTTAAGGCGGTTCTGTTTAAATCAGGAGGGAGTTTGAAAACTTCCATCTGGAAAATGGATCTTGCTTGGGTCTCATTCATGATAGGCGACAAAAGAGTCCCGTTTCTGCAACAATAAGGTAATTTCCCAACTTTATCATCGTCGGCTTTCTCTTTAGGCAAATCAGAAATGAGTGGTTTCTTTTGGCAATTGATTACAGTAGTGAAATCGAAATCCTTGTAATATTGTCCTTGAGGTCCGTAAATGCATTCAGAAGGGTCTTTCTTGTGAGTATAGGCACCTTTAATGCTGTAAATGAACTCATTTCTCATCCACTCCCACGTTAAGTTCCAATGATCAAGACGACCCAAAGGATTGAGATTATCAATAGTGACCTGGGCTTGGTACTTGTTCGTGTACGCTGATAGAACATCGTAAATTATGGAGAGGTCTCCATAACGGCGGGGCATGAACTTGGTGGTCACATTCTTGGCCTTGAATTTAGGATCCCTCGTGCAGCAAACATGCATATAACTTGCTGCAAAAAGAGTTAACAGGTCAACCTTCTAGCAGGAAGTAATACATTAAAAGCAAATTTTACCCAAAAATTCATTCCACAATTACATTGAATGAAAACACATGTTTCTTTGGAAGAGGGAGATGGGGAAAGGCGTTACATGTTAAAAGAGGAAACAGAAGTTCAGAAAAGAAAGAAACACAGCCTTTAATTTGCACGAGAAAGGGAGAGACAGAATTATCTGATGATCAGATAACCATGGGAATATTTAATTTTTTTATTTTACAAAAGTTTCAACGCCTGTGTTACTTATAAGGTAGATAATAAACGCTGCAATGTAAATGCATGCATTGTTACAAGAATAAGTGTATTCCTACGCTACATATGGTGGAATAATTGGAATCCCTTCATTCTTGACAAGAGTTATCGGGTCCGAGCAGGGGTAGAGCTAGGTGGGCGAAAAAAGGTTTAGCCAAACCTCCTTCGCCGAAAATTACCTTGTATATATAAGGTTAATTTTTTTCATATATATATATATATATATATATATATATATATATATATATNGAATCCCCTTGGCGAAAATCATGCTTCCATCACTGGGTCCGAGTTTGGAGAATGGAGAATTTCTCTGTATTACGCGTATTACTCCCTTGCTGGGCTTACTCAGAGGTATTCAGAGTAATTGCACTATTGGGTTTCGAATACCCATTGCTTAAATTGGAAACAACATTTTTATTCCTATCATTTAAAGTGCAGTGCAAAGGATCTATATGCTGGTAAAAAGAAATGAACTTTTCAGACCAAAAGCATGAAAAATACCCCCAAAAAGAAAGAAAAAGACATACGTACTATAGCGCTTAGGAGCAGGGCATTTGTATCCCTCATTGACGAGCTTGATTGTTTTAGGCATAGGAGTTGCTTTATCTTTGAGACCAAATTGCGTCCCCTTAATACTGATTTGAGCAGACATTTGAGTAAAATCTCCTGCGGTGTCTATAGCTGTTTTCAAATCAGACTGTGGATACCCTGCCAATGTTGTACCATTTTTACCTACTTTTACAGGAAATCCATCACCGTCAATTGCAACCGCTCCATCTGCGGATACCAACAACTCATTATGCTGAAATCCCACAAAAACTTTCCAGGATTTCAGCTCATAAATCCCTGTATTCAACACCGTTAACATGGACTTAAATGACCATGCTTGTGCTGATATGTTCTTCACCAATGGATATACTTTGTCTCGTCCCTCGAAACTATACGTGACAAAGATTCCATCACAATGCTCTTGCTCCGGTGGCGGTGCCGCCGGTTTTTCCTCTCCGCCATAATCTTGCCCGTTACATGTTTGAAAAAACAACACTAGTGCGACCCAAGAGATAGCACTCCATGGAATTTGCATTCCTTTACCTTTTATAACCATGGAGGACTTAAATATGGTTTTTTAAGAAATGATGTTTTGTTAAATATAATTCTCGATTTTGGATCACATTTAAGCAAAAAAGAAAACAGAGGGGAGGAGGAAAGCGGAGGCAGCAGACGGCCGGTGAAGGGAAAAGGTTGGATCACCACCAGCTGAAGCCGTGTGAATGCACACAACGGCGCAGGAGGTGGTAAGGGAAAAAAATGGACGTCACAGGAAGAAAAAATGTTGAATTATAATAGACAGAAGAATGTAAGACCTGTTCAGCTTTGCTCTCTTCCTCTAGTTTTAGCGATTCATGCGGAGAACACATATAAACGTAAACTTTTACGGATGCTATTTGGGGGATAGTATTGTCTAAATGAATTTGTTTTATTGGTCATTAGAGTATGTCAATCACTTATAGAAATTGAATATATTTGGAATTTGGTGCAGTATTCTGGGGCCTAGAACAACAGAAAATAAATACTAGCTCCTTTCATTTCGCCCTATCAAAGAAAACAGAGGTCTCTTTTCAACTGCAGATTTCATTTCTTCATCTGCATTTTTTCAAAAATATTCAGAACGATTCTTGTATAAAAATTCGGTCTTTTCTATATTATTAGTCAAGAACTCTTGACCAAGAAGATGTAGACGTTAGAAAGAGAGAGGAGACGGAGATGAAAATAGAGAAAGGAGAAAGAGCTTGATTTCTTATTCAATAATGTTACTTTCCTTTAGTACACAAACCTATTATATATAACTTACTAACGGATTATATTAATGCTTATCAAATGACTCCATTGCCCTTGTATCATTTAACACCCCTCAAGATAGGTGGAGTAAAGATGTTAAAGTACACCTAGCTTGGAGTTGAGATGCTCATGATGAACTCTATTGAGACCTTTGGCGAGAATATCAGCAGGTTGCTCTTTTGTAGTGATGTAGTTGGTGATGATCAAGCCTTGTTGTATTTTTTCTCTTATGAAATGACAATCGATTTCTATGTGTTTGGTTCTCTCGTGATAAACAGGATTTGCAGCTATTTGTATAGCTGCCTTACTGTCTGTATAAATGTTAACTGGAGTTTTAAATTCTATGTCTACCTCCTTTAGCATACCTAGAAGCCAAATCAGTTCTGCTACAGTTGTTGCAAGGCTCATATATTCAGCTTCTGCAAAGCTCCTAAAAACTGTAGTTTGCTTCTTAGATTTCCATGATACTATAGTCCCCTACTTTAATTAGAAACCCAGTAACAGATTTCTTTATGAGTGACCAGGCTGCCCAATCTGCATCACAATATGCAGTGATGTTGTTGCTGTAATTAGTGGGTAACAGGATACCCTGCCCAGGTTGATTTTTTTACATATCTGACAATTCTTAAGGCTGCTTCCATATGATATTTCTTTGGTTGTTGAAGAAATTGACTCAATATCTGAACTCCAAAGGCAATTTCTGGCCTTGTTACTGTTAAATATAGTAACTTCCCTATGAGCCTTTGATAGGCTGTTTGATCTGTTAGAGGGTCTTCTTCTGTTTTTGTATTCTTTTCGGGATGATCATCACACTTCTTAGAAGTAAGCTTCATAGAAATATCAAGGGAGTTAGTGCAGGTTTAGCAGTTGTTAGGCCAACTTCTAAAATGAGTTCCAATGCATACTTTCTCTGATGCATTGTGATCCCTTGCTTAGATCTAGCAAATTCAATGCCAAGAAAGTATTTTAACTCTCCCAAGTCCTTCATTTTGAAGGCTTGCTGCAGTGAAGCTTTTGTTTCTTCCACAAGTTTCAAACTGTTTCCAATGATTAACATATCATCAACATATACTAGGACTATAACAATGCCTTCATTTGTCCTCCTTATGAACAAAGAGTGATCAAACTGACTCTGTTTACACTTGAACTTTTGTAGAGCTTCATACAGTTTTGCATTCTACTGTCTTGATGCTTGTTTAAGTCCATATAAGGATTTAACAAATCTGCACACTGATCTATTCTCCCCCTGACTGTTAAATCCTTGAGGCAAGTCCATATATATTTCATCATAAAGATCTCCTTGAAGAAATGCATTGTATACATTCATTTGATGTATGTGCCACTTTCTTGCTGCTGCTACTGCCAGTATAGTTCTTACAATGATCATTTTCACAACATGTGAAAATATTTCCTGGTAGTCAATTCCTTCCTGTTGACTATACCCCTTTGCTACTAATCGAACTTTGAATCTTTCAATCTCTCCTGATGCTTTGTATTTTATTTTATAGATCCATTTACACCCTATTGGTTTTTTACCATCCCATGTATGATTGGTTTCAAGTGTCTTTATCTCTTCATTCATGGCTTTAACCCATCTAGGATCTTTAATAGCTTCAAAGTATGCAACAGGTTCACAAACAGTAGAAGAAGTAGCAATATACGCTTGATACTTAGGTGGCAAATTGTCATATCCTATGTATCTGCTTAAGGGATAGGGTACATCCTCATGTATATTAAGAGAAACAAAATCTTTCATCCAAACTGGAGGTTGTGAACCTCTACTTGATTTTCTTGTGGCAGATAGCTGTTGTTGATTAGGTTGATCATTCTGATGATTCTCAGTGATAGGCATAGCAGGTATAGGCTGCTGCACCAATGTCTCTTCTTCAATATGGTCTTGAGGGTCTGAGATGTGAGCTGAAGTTTGATTTTCCATTGTGAAATCTGTAAGAGCTTCTGTTGGTGGTTGAGTACCTGCAGATTCATTCAGTCTAGTAGGGACATCAAATATAATATTAGAGGTATCTGTAAATATCCCTGAGTTTGGTGTAGTATCTACAAACAGTGGCTGGGTTGTGGACTTTTGTTTAGTGAAAGAAAAAATATCCTCTCTGAATGTGACTTCTCTGTTGATAAAAAGGGAGTGAGTATACAGATCATACAGAACATATCCTTTGTGTATCTCAGAATACCCCATATGAGCAATCATTCTAGTTCTAGGTAGTAGCTTGTCATGTTCATGTATTGTCTTAGCAAAACGTAGACATCCTAGTACTCTTAGATGTCATTGGAAAAGGTTTTCTGTTATGTAGCTTTTCATAGGGTGACATATGAACCACAAAACTAGGCATTCTATTTATTAAATAAACTACAACAAGAATACAGTGTCTCCAGAATTTGATGGGAATCTGGGCTTGATATCTAATAGCTCTGGTGACTTTTAAAATGTGTCTGTGCTTTCTCTCAGCTACACCATTTTGCTTAGGGGTATATGTACATGTCCTTTGATGTATTATTCCTAGATTTTTGAATAGAGTATCATACAGAGTTCACAAATTATATCCCATTATCAGTTCTGATTATCTTGACCTTTTTGTTGAAATGTGTTTGTACAAAACTGAGGAAATGCTGAAGGCAAACATATACATCAGACTTTTATTTAAGTATAAATATCCATGTCATTCTAGAATAGTCATCTACTACAGTTAGGAAGTACTTGTTTCCATCAAATGTAAATACTTTATATAGGCCCCATATATTCATATGAATCAGATCAAAGGGACTAGTACTTTTAATACTACTTGAATGAAATGGAAGTCTTGTTTGTTTGGCACATGGACATACAGTGCACTTATTTACTCTATCTCTAATTGTTTGCAGATTAATATAAAGCAATTTTTGAAGTCCTATAACATACATATGGCCAAATCTCCTGACAGCATCCTAGGAAGCTCAACTTTATTCAAGGACAAGGATGAAGTTTTGGAATCTCAAAGATGTCCTTTAATAATATGTCAAGCTAAAGAGTTACAAAATAAGGCCATTAGACTTCAAGTGCAAATAAAGAAGCTTTTAATTATGGAGGATGAGCTCAAGACCAAAGGAGATAAATTATACAAGTTTTACAATTATTTGGTGGCCCAAATTGAAGTTCAAGAGGAGGAAGATTGAGTCCCGAACTCGGCCCTTGAAATCTAGCAAAAGGGCACCCAGAAGAGCCCAAAATGAGCTTAAAAGAGGTCCAAATGGGGGTGTTTGAAATGGAGCCCAATTGGAGTCCAAACCAATGACCCAAACTAGTAGTTTTAAGGCCCAAATCTGCCCTAAAGGGATTTGGCCGCCCCTACCTAATTTTGTGACTTTTCTTATTTCTTAGCAACCACCCTACCTAATTTTTATGACTTTGTTACCCCTTAGCAGCTCCCTACCTACTTGTAATGACTTTTTATGCCTTAGTACTCCTATAAATAAGGAGTTCTTCTCATTCATTGAGACACTTTATTATTGATTAAGTATATCATACTTTGAGTGTTCTTTTGAACCTTTGTTACTTGTGCTTTGAGATTTATCTTTCAAACTTTACTAGTTCATAGTTCAACGTAGTAAGATTACTTCTCTATTGTGATATCTTTGATTCCTTTGTGGTATTCTTAGAAGGTGATTAATACTAGGTATTAATTGTTGTCTCAAGTTACTCGTAAATCGGTCAAGATCCGAATCTATTATTTTGATTTGCTTTTAAGTAAAGGCGTTTGATTTCTTCAATAAATCAAGACGTTGTTGCTTTGATCTTGTCAAGGCTATAGAACTTGCGTTCTTGGAAGTTCTTAGAATTCTTTCCTTGAATTTTCCCATATCCTTTATTTTCTGCCCTTTAGTTCTAGTTGCTCAATTCCTTATTGTTATTGATTTCGCATTTACTTTTCAAATTCTTACTCTAGTTTGGATTCACGACCTTGTCGTTATCATCTCCTATGCCACAACTCCACATTCTAACTCTCATTTGTAGATGTTCCAAGTTCTTTAGCAGACAAACTAAAATTTCTGAAGTTCCTTCTCTCAGCATCCATCTGTAGAAGATATAGCCTTGCTTCTTCTTTAATAATCTCCTTCACCTTCCCAGTAAAGTGATTCTGAAAAATACAAAAATTAAGAAAAAACATGGCTAAGCACTGCAGTTCTTTTGTTAGCTTGGAGATAGAAAGTAGATTGTATTTAAATTGAGGAACATAAAACACATTTGTTATAGTGTTTCTTTCTGAAATAGAGCTAGACTCTGTGTGTGTGACATGAGATATATCACCATTTGGTAGTAGTACCCTTTTTGGATTACTTGTCTCAACTACTGTGTTTTTGTTCAGTAGATTTATATCAGAGACAATGTGATTTGTAGCCCATGTATCTATGATCCATTCCTGAGATTTAGACACTAGCATTGCCATATCAATATCAGTACCTGCTACATTAGCTATAGAGGTT